TAAGGAAGATAGATTAGTGTTGGTGCGTGACCGCAGAGCCCAAGGGACAACTGCTTGAGGCCGGTCACGCACGGCCTTTTTATGAGAAGTTTTTTGAGGATTAGCTCCGTTCTTAAAGGCCCTTAACGGGCACCCTTACCCAAGGAGACGGAAATCCGTGAGTTAGGGGGAGTGTGACATTTTTAGGGCCGACCTTTTCTAACCCTTCCTTCCTTGTGAGAAGGCAGCATCGCTGCAGATGCTGGTTGTCCGAGGGAAACACCTTACTGCTGTCACACCCCTCTGCAGTCAGCAGTACGACTTCGCCCTCAGACCTTGGGTAGCTGCTTTTAGTCTCATCGTTCTCCAATCGACCAGCCTGGCATGGTAGGACCTGCAGGAACATATGTTCCAGCCAGTATAGCTCGGTTGGGTCATCACGATAGGCAAGCCCGACCACCACGTCAAGGTAGCAGCTTCGGTCGGGAGCATGTGTATCAATTCAAGATGTCAAGCTGAAACAGAACAGAAAGATGAAATTGTTAGAGTGAATCTTCGAGTAGTTGAGGTAGAAGATATGATTCCTCATATTTAAACTGACTATTCACATAATCTATCGGAAAAATCCTATTCCATACGATGTTCCTACGTCTAGTTACTTAACGCAATGCAGTACCCAGACGCAGATTCATTCACTACTTCCCTTAGAACCATGCATCTCATAAGTTAAGATTATTGGTATCAAGTGACTTTCCAGACCGATATAGCTCAGACAGGGTTTAAACATACCCCTCTCCAGTTTTTGAGAGTTATCCTTGTCAAAATAATCATAAAGATAATAATAAACAATATTCCCACCTGAAATCATTCTAGAATTACTACTGGTCCTTAGCTCGGATAAGCAAGGAGAGTTAGGCATAGGGTTAGAAACCACATTCTGTGGAAAACAACTATGTTGAAGAACGTTAACCCGAATAAAAACTATATTAACCATTTAAAATCAGTCCTAGGTGTTTAAGTATTTTCAATTAGAAGAATTATGACACCTAATGGTGAAGGCCTATGCTCCGTGAGGAGTAATAGAAGTAAGTAAGTAACCAAAATATAAATCAATAAAAAGTAGACGACTGTATCAACGAATCAATAGTGAATGAGAAATCATACAACAAAAAATCTTCAGCATTTAATATTATTACTGGTGTTAGAAAAGACTGTGGCGAAAGCAAACAAATAAATAAATGGGGAGACTTACACTTATACAACAAAAAACATACATCACTAGAATTACTAAAATGATTTTAACACTCCTGCTTGCTCCATTAAAACAATAATTGATCAATGCCGGTTTACCACTAAAAGAATCACGTACATAAAAACAACATTTGACTAAACATGCACAACAGTTAGCGAAATTGTTTTGAAAGGAATCGAAAACCAAAATAAACCCAAAAACTATCATGATTTCCTGCAAAAATGGTATAGATTGTTCCGTTTATGCGAAAAAAAAAGGAATCGCATTTCTGTTATGAAAAATGTGGGGAGAAACCAGTCTTTAGCAAGCATTAAGCGTATAGAGAGTTTGCTAAAACAATACACATATGTACAACATTTAAGTATTTGAAGGAAAGGTGTCAAGATCTAACTCACCATAATAATCAGTTGAACGACCTGCTAATCAAATACAGTTTATAAAATACACTACTATAAAAAAGAATAAATAAATCCAGTTTATTTGATAGTGTGATTTTCTTTATAATGACAAGAATGGAAATGAAAATAATGGTACAACAGACAGTAGTTAAAAAATTAAGAATGGTAATTCATAGATAACATCTTTTTCTATATAAATTATCCTCTTCATCCTCTTTGTTTAAATGTTCACACCAGACATAAAGAATGGGAAATAAATGCTTCTTTTCAACTGCTTTCTTTACAATAAATAATATAACTTATTTACTTAGCATAGTATGATGAATTTGGTTGAGTTAAACTTCCACATAAAGATTAGGGATATTACCCGGAAGTCCGGATGGAGTGAGAATTTGAATTATCTACCCGGTTAAGGCAGTGGGAGATAAGAATGGAAAAAGTAGATTTCTTGTCCTGTAACTAAGATAGCTCAGATTATTGGTCAATAGCTTAATAGAGGATGTCGTTTTAGTTTAGTTGACCCTAGCTTTATGTACATATTTAACACCAAATAAAACAGCCAATATCAACTCGCATATAATAATACTACTAACGAACTTTCAAGACTTGAACGATAGAATTATGGGAAGACTATGTGGGAAAAATATCCGTTCATCAACAACATTGATAGTTTAATGCGCTAGCTGACTAACTACAAATAATCAGCCTTAATTATCCAAAGAACGTTTCGAGCCGCTTCTTAAACTAAACACAAAAATTATTAAAACCGATTTCTGAAACAGAACACTAAGATCATATAGATATAACAGTGTTTTTTTTGAGAATATATCGAATAGAGATTTTAAAGTCAAAAATTAATGAATAGAACCATTGAATCACACAAAAATAACTCTTAAACATTGAAAAAACATACGATACTATCGAGAAAAACTTTCGCTGGATATATGGGTCCGAAACCAGACCTTAAATATACCTTAATTAATCTACTAATATTTTACTTAATGGATAAAAGGTTAATCAGGATTCATCCCGTCTCTAGATAAGAGCAAGTAGGGAACGAATGTATTCGTGAAAACTTCCCTCATATTGTTCTCTAAATGAATTCTAGCACTAATAGTAATAAAATATAAGCGTATCGTTACTTCGTAAATCTCTAGGATATGGTGTATGACGTGTTTAGGAAGATCAAAATTAATCACATGTGAAGAGGAATTTATGCAGATGACAAAACAGATATAAGGAAAAACCAAAACTGAGAAGATCTTGGTCACTTACTTTCCCGTTCTTGAGGTTCTTCTAGGGTTTGAGTTTCCTTACTGTAAATTATTGTTTCCGGAGGAGGAATTGCGATCTCGAAAACATCAGAAACTTGCAAGTTTTTTCGTTTCTTGGAATTACGTTGACTAACGATACAGAAGTGTGACAAAAATAAGAAACAACGAATTTTGGATAATACCGATTGTGTAAAGTTTGAGTAAAAAAATAATTGCAACCAATTTGTACTCTGTGGAACCATCGCAATGTCACTCTGAAACTAGCCGATATTTTATCTATGTAGTTAGAGAAAAGACAAAACTTCTTCATTTGTATTGAAATTTTTTCGTGAGTATAGTTTTGAAATTATTAAATAACTTATTTTCCATGCCTAAATTTAGATTTATCAGAAAAGTCTTTTTAATAATGTACCTGGCGAATTTGTACATTAGTGTAGTAAACAATTTGCTACTCAGTTTGATTGGAATAACTGCCCTCAAACAAATACTAGTAGGGATTGATACGGAAGTGCTTTAAAAACTGAGATCTAGGCAGTTAAAAAGCAAACGGATGTAACCTCAGATATTAGATACTACACTTAGACTTTCACAAACTAAGTAAACAAATATTTGTGGTAAAATATAGGTTGGCTCCGCTTGCTTATCTGAAGCCTAGTTACAATGAGAATAGATACAGAAAGGGCAAAAACTAGTAAGCACCACTGGCAACTGATTTAAGACATGTTTAAAAGACAAGGAGATACAGGAAACTAGATAACACCCTTGTGACAAAACTGCTGAAAAACTTGCTAAAACACTTGGACGACTGATTCTCCACTAACATAGAGGTCTTTCGTTGTCCACAGGCTTAACTTACTATCAACGTATGAACTCCTTGGAATCTATACAAATGAGGATTGCTTCTCCACTGTAACCAAGCAACAGACAGGAAGAGACCATGCATCAAGAAATAAACAACGAGATTACTTTAGAGTATATAGATATTGGTTAAAACTTAATAAGAAAAGACCTACATAATACTGTCAATCGTATCTTGAGATGGTGACTCTAGTTCACGTATATTGATAGCTTGTGGCACGACGGGTTCAGGTAAGCCAAGATCCTTCAATAAATCCTCAGTTGTTTGCCGTATATCAGTGACTTCGGCATCCTGTATCCCAATTTTTTTAATTTCCTCTCTCTTTTTCTTCTCTTCTCGCATAGCAAGAAGCTTTGCTTTTTTTCTCTCTAACTCTGCCTTTCGGTCTGCCATTGGGACAGCGATTTCCAAAAAGGCTGGTAGCGTTACTATCGAATTGTTTCCCTGAAACAAAGTTCTCCAAAATGCAGTGACTACAGTTTAAGTATTAATTTTCAAATAATTGAGATATCAATTGTTATAAATAAATAGTTTCTTGCTATAAGGATAAATGAAATTTGTTTAAGTGTTTAGAAGAAAACCCGGTCGTTCGGATGTTTGCGTTACTTTCAAAGCTAATTTCGAACAGGTTAGTGTTCCCAATGACCGATACAAAATTATGAAGTTTAACCGTCTAATTAAACTTTTTCTTGTTCAATTCACTAACTCGAACCAGTTTGGAGGCAGAAGAGTCCTTGAGGAATTCTGCTCGCGCGCAAATACTGCTTGTTTCGCGTAATAGTTTGTCTCGTCGGAGATTGAGTTTTATAAGTTATACACGTTGGAAGACTCACAAAAGCCATATATTTCAACAAAGTAAATATGTTGGCGTGACCATGTTCCAAGCAAAAAGATTTAGGTTATCAAATAACGGATTTTTTCATCAAATTCATCTATCCATGTTTTTAAATAAGATTGAACATAAAGGATGGTATGTAATCGTAGTGAAAACTCTCACGACAATTCATCACTCTGAGTACTAATTAATTGCTTACACATCCACAACCCTCCTTTTATCTTAGTCAATGGATTTTATCAAGGCCGGTCAGGGGTTTTCAAAAACTAGTCTCGCTACTGAATTTAAGCAAGTATCTTTTGTAATAAACCAAGTTTCTACTAATTGTTCGTGCAGTTCATTTTGCAAGTCGAACTTCAGGTCTCGAGCAAGCAAAATACGTTACTTAAACTTTTAAATCAAGTCTGTAACATCCAGTTTCTTTTACCAATTTCGATACATCCTCTCATTATTTAGATCCACGTTCTTCGTACGCTTCATTAGATTCCTTTGGTAGGCTCATCAAAATAGGGCTTTTTTCTAAAATACGTCTCGATAATTGCACCAACCTGTTGGTCATAATCAAAATGGCTTATATCAATTTACTGGCCTTATGGTCTGATACTGTATTCATTAAAATGATGGCGGTTTACACTCAATTATTTTTGTGGACCTAAACGAATTAGGCATGAATCCGAAACTTGAATGGCATTTCGTTTTATGGACCGAATTCGTGAACGACTCTTCATAATATCGTTTATTCAGTTGCTAACTTTATGCATATGATCGGCTTCCAAACGCCCGGGTGCGACCAAAATTGAAGCGAGTCCACTCTACCGCTCAAAATGCTCTCATATGGTGACGCGTGTACCGTCACTACCTCAGAAGTCCTACCTATTGGAGTTAGAAAGTCCCAATTTCAAGTCACTGTCGCTGACCGGACTGCATCTCTTGACGTCACTCCACTGATTTGTGGATTGGACCTCTAGGTCAAAAGGCTCGGGGACTGACTGCCTAAGATGATCACCTGTTTCGATTTGGTCAGTATCCCAGTGCTTACTGGAATTTATTATGTGGTACATAAATATTTAGGTGCCTCTTTGTACCATCTATATGATAAATTCCTATGATCTTTTCACTTTATCGTTTCTGTAGTTACTATTGATCGCAATGCAACTCAACGGGACATTCGACGTAAAGTTAGGTAAAAGTTTCCTAGATCGAGATTTAACATCTTACATGACCATGCGTTGCGATTTCATGCCTGCCTCTGTGGATCGCTCACAACCTGGATCGATCAAGGTAAACGAGAGCAAAGAGGTTGTTGTTAGCCTGCCTAATGTCACAAACTCTGGACCGGATACAACAACTTTGTTTCGTGGAACTGCACGTCCTGTTCAGAAAGAATGTATCTTAATCTACAATAAAAAGGTGATTCTACAAACGTCATATACAACCAAAGTATTGACATTTTATTATTTAGCCTATTTTAAATCAGCTTAAAGTACACTATCGCATAACCACTCAATCGTTATCACTTTGTTCTATATTTGAGATTCATACAAGCAGGTATAAATAGGACTCTAAGTGGTTTTCTGTCATCTGTGTGCTTTTTCACCTGAGAGTCACTCTCATAGGTCTCATTAGATTTTACTGGCGTTCTAAGCACTAGATAACAAACATTTTCAAGATTGTTTCAGTGGCTAATAGTGACCGTGCCTTTCAAATTTAATTCATAATCAAATGCATAACTGGATTGTATAACTCCATTATTACGTTTTATGTACACTAACCAGGTTTGCTGTGATTGAAGATTTTACGACTACTTTATACCTGCGTTTACAGATTTAAACTCTTACTACATAGTCCCAAAATTTTGAGATCCGATTCAATCAATCGAGACTTAGTCACCAAATGCATATATATCCACTCAGCTTTACATTATTCCTCCTGGGTACTTAAATTAACATATGAAAAACAAAGTTTGGATCATCAGCTCATTGATTAAAAACCATGCATTGGCTGCTGTGTCACAGCTCCATTTCAGTTCACTTGGTAGTTGCTATTTTCATCGTCTGTCCGTCCTTAATTCATTGGTCATTCGTCTTAAAAGGTCTTCAGCTCTGAAGTATGCTTATTCCCCAAAGATTAAATAGTTAAGAGTTCCTTTTCAAGTGTTTCTAGTTCTTTTGCCATTTTTAGGGTCCGCACGTATTAGTTAGTTTGTGTAATATCTTAATCTATATGGCTGGTACACTGTCTATCGTTTTGCACTGACGAAATATATTTTAATAATAAATGCAGTTATAATAACTTACTAATAAACGAATTTCCATGACCGATTCTTGTCCAACATGCTTTGTGATTCCTATCTTGTCCGTTTCAGGACTGAAAAAAAACACTTCGTCCACTACATCTAATGCCTTTAGAAATAAAAACTGATTAAATGTAATAACAATTTTCACTGTAAGCTCAAGTATTTAAGAAAATTTGTTTGGTAATTGTTCATACATTAAAAACCTCTTTTACTAATATCCAACTTGAGCTATTCGTATAAGTCATTCGCATTTTTGCTTTTGTACATTGTGTTTAATCACCCAACTGTACATTAAGCTATTGTTCAAAAGGGAAATTGCTAAAATCCCTTAATCCATAACACAGACAACATAATTTGTAAAACTACTACTAACGTAAGTCATGGGCTTATAATAAATACCACTATCCAAGCACCTAGCCCTCTACTTAATTTAGGTTCTTCAGGTTACTTTTCGTTAACTATTCTGCTTAAATTGTTAGTTTTGTATTCTGTATATGTTTCATTACTTTCTTGCACCAACCAAAGACTAAATTTTCTTCCTCATCACTAATATTTCTGTGTTTCTTATTTAGACTCATGAATTAACCTTGGAGAGAATTGCACATACTGTACAGCTGAAGAAGACTCGAGAAGAACGGAAGTCTGACACCACTTGTCCACCCAACGCAGAAATATCACAATTCCAATCTCTACCTGGCCGCTCAGAACAAGATCTGAAATCTGTTCGACCGTCTCCAACCAAGAGAAAACCTAATGATCCTGAGATATCAGCTCCTACTACTACTGTAGTACAGCAGCCAACGCAAAAAAAACCTCCGCATTCGAGAACATTAAGTAGTAGCAGTAGCAGTAGTAGTAGCAGCAGTAGTAGTAGTTCTAGTAGCAGTCGTAGTAGTTGTAATATGGATATTGAGACTTCAGAAAGTGATAATGATAGCGCTTCAGATAGTGATTCGAATTCATCAACTTTGAGCAGTTTATCAAATGGTAGAAACAAGACATCAAAAGAAAAACCATCTTCAAATGGAACAATAGATAAGAAAGCAATCAGTACAACAAATTTAGCAGCCCATCGTAAATTAATTGAACATGATTTAAAATTAAGTGATTCTGACTCTGATTGTAGTGCATAAAATGTTCAATGGAACAAGCTATTTTCTGTGATTTCTCTTGTAAATAGTGATTCCTATTGTAAAAATAACACATTCAAGAAGTATGTACCATTTTTCCGTAAATGATGATCTCTTATGATTGGTTTTATTTATTTTCAAATAAATCTTATTATTTACGTGGATTATATTTCATTCTTGCTTTCAATTATAGGAAAATTTCGTTATATTCTTTTTCTTTCATATTTAACTCAAGTGTAATGTAACCAAATGGCCTTGAGAGATCCATTGGCTCATTAAACCAATGGCTGTTACCCCACAGGTCTGCCTTTAATAGTACTGAATTGGGGTCATTCCTCTCACGATTGTTTTCCTCCGCATGGATCGATTGAAGTGTTTCAAATAACTTAAAGATAATAAATAACATTCACTTGATCATATGTGACATTTAGCACATGTCGGTAGAATTAAAGGACTATTGATATCGTTGTATGTTTGATAAATTTGTAGTAATTATTCTTATTATAACAAAGACTTGGACCACTACCATGAAATCGACAGCCTATTGTTTTTTAGATGAATCCAGTCACCTTTGTTCGAGTTTGTGACACAGAATGAATATTATTCAGAAACAGACTGAAAACTCTCAACCGGTTAGTTAGTTTGAACAATTAATATTGAATCAATACTTGCGCAGCTTTCCAAACTTGTTTATCTGTCATCCAGCAGGGAATCCATAAGGATGTTCACTTTTCACCCATTTTCTTTCAAGTGGTTCATGAACAGACTACATCAGCAAGCACCTGTAGACAACAAATCATTTCCTGTCTTTTTGCATTACTTAATCGTAAATTCATTCGACGCTAGGATGTATTGCCTTTCTATTAATGATGATTCCAGATGTGCTAACTAATAAGTTTAGCCAGCTCTTTTGATGACTCAGGTGTTAACTCGTCAACATACACACGAAATTCAGAATTTTAACCATCGAAACCCGGCGTTCATTGTCTTCCAACTACTGAGTTCCAGAAGTGCGTACATGAATTAACAGTTACTTTGAAGTCAAAAGTATGATTTGTCTACTAGATGCACTGCAAATATTTTGATCATGCATTTACTCAATGCATTCCTTGTAAAAACAGAGAGGTCAAATATGTAGAAAGTGATAGAAATACAAAAGAATGGGAATAACAGTTTGAATTGTATATGTTAAGTGGGTGTTTATTTCACACATCTGCTCTCGAAAACTGTAGAACTAATATTCATTACCTGAAGACTGGCTTACATTGTATTTTCACATTGATGTCCCACTTAGTAGTCGGGATTGAAATGGTCATAAAACTAAGGATAATTAACAAGATTTTGTAGAATTTGACTTACTCTGTAAGTCATATTTGCAGGTGGATTCGTAAATACACATTTCTGGAGGGGTTTTCACACTAACAGGGAACAGTTGTATACTGCTCCCTGGCCTTCGGTAGCGCCTCAAATGAAATCAGTCAGTGATGAATATAACATAATGTAGAGTTACTTACATCTTCAAACATAATGGTCAAGTTTATCATTAGTCTCAACCTGAAATTACAAGGAGCAATACACTACTTATTAGTTACGAATTAATTTGATTTTGTGTAGTTGTTTATAATTTGTGCTCTGATCATTATTAAGTGACATATCACCTCTGGGACTAGTTTCTTGCAACATAAGTACGTGTCATGTTCTTCGGCTCTACGTTCAACACATCAAACTTTTATTAACTGAAGTCTATCCACCGTTTATTCCTTACTACTATCACTCCTTATAAATTATGACTGTTTATAGTTGATGAAAAGTCTCAAAATAGGATGAATTCATTTTATTTTACAAATTTGCTTATTTTCACATTGTTCGAAGATTTTAAAAGAGGCAAATTGATTAAATTATCGAGGTGTTCCATTGAAATGATCATTTGATGCTGCGTAAAATTATAAATTACTTCCTTTTGTGTCTAGGTTAATCAATTTCTTTAAATCATCATTTTTTTTATCATGTTTGTTTTCTTATCACTCACTCTATTTAGGATAGCTTGCCCCATATCTGTGAAATCAACTAGTAGTCTCAGCTAAAATATATATATACATAGACTCTGTGGAGCCAGCCAACTTTCACTCTCTAGTCGACAATTTGATTCTTTTTTTTCTACATTACTGCTCTATTTGAATGACTCTCGTCCAGTACATTGTATTACGTCGTGATTTATCAACCATATTAAATTGGCCATTAGGTGCATTGATTGCACAAGGTTGTCATGCGGCAACTGCAGCCATTGCTACTTATTACACACATTCCGATACAATGTTGTATTTGCAAGCATTGAATAGCATGCATAAAATTGTGCTAGGTGTGGATAATGCAGAACAATTGGAAAACATTGCAAAGAAATTGAAAGATGCTAATATTGATTGTTATTTGTGGATAGAACAACCGGAAAATCTCTGCACAGCACTAGCTACACGTCCTTATGAGAAATCAATAATTCAAGTGTATTTTAAAGGACTTAAATTACTATCATGACTTAATTGTACATAAATTTGTATAATTTTGATAAATGTTATTTTCTAGAATAAATTCTTGTTTTTTTCTTCTTCTAATATAAATAAGATAATGTAATTAATGCTTTTAGATTATTATTATTGACAATTTGTGTTTAATTTAACTAATTTTTTTTTCAAATAAATAGTTTAGTGTTTATTGCTGAACTGAACAGGTTGATCAATAGATTTGTAGCCATTTCGTTTAATACATTCAAAATAGAATACACCCAGTTTTATTTGTGTTACATAAACCTGTAAGGAGTCAACAAAGTCCTACTTTTAATACATTGAATGTTGATCATACAACTTGCTTCAGATAAATACATCACTTATTCCGACTGGAGGTTTTTACGAAACGGTAGTAGTAGTTGTACTGTCAGGCTTCTAAAGATAGATAATGGTTTTTAGGTTGACTTATGAGGTTACTAGCAGCTCTTGTTGTGGGAATTCTACCTGGGACGGTATGTTTTGTATGAGTTCGCAGTTTGGGAATATTTTGCTTCTACATTTGTAGAATATTGTTACATACATTTTATCTCCAATTGTTAGCATAAATGTCTAGGAAACTAAACTTTGTGAATCTGCACCACCTTAGTGCATTTTACTAGTTACTGTATCCTGAAGACTGTCTATGGCTTGTGAAATCTTCGAGGTTTCGAAACTCAACTCAAAATAGTCGCATCGGCACCTGAACTAGTGATAGGGAGTGAAGTAGTCGAACGTGTAGACCGCTTCACTTATCTGGGGAATCTCATCGGTGCTGATGGCCTGGTGACTGACGAAATCTCAGCACGGATACAGAAAGCTTGATTGGCTTTTTCCATTTTGCTGCAGACGAGATATCCGTTTGCTGACTAAAGGACGAGTGTACTGCGCAGAAGTTCGCTCCGTACTATTATACGGATGCGAAACATGGCCAGTGAGAGTAGAGGACATTCGTAGATTGCTTGTCTTCGATTGTCGGTGTCTCCGAAGCATTGCTCGTGTTTCATGAGACAATCGAGTAAGCAATGCTGTCGTTAGGAAACGAGTTCTAGATAGGGACGGCTAATCAATAGATGAAGTAATGATGCTTCATCATTTGAGGTGTTTGGGACATGTGCTACGAATGCCTAACCATCGACTGTCGCGACGAGCTATGTTTTGCAGTGTATGAGTAGGTTGGAAGAAGGTTAGGGGCGGCCAAACCGAAACATGTCAGAAATCCATGAAATCACTGACAAGTGAACTGAGTCATGTTGGTAGATGTAGGCTACCTCGTTGGGGTTCGTGAGACGAAAGTCACCAATCATTAGAGACCTTGAACAACATGGCTCAGAATCGTTTACAATGGCGCAAGTGCATCCACTCTTCGTGTTCTATGAAATTCTAACCTTCTGAATACCTCATCATCTCCATCTTGCTCCTTCTAAATGTATCTCACTGAATTATACTTCTCGAATCATATCTTCGCTCCCTAATCTTCTCCATTACTGCTAATACATTCTACTATTGCTATCACTCTTGGATTTGAACTGACAGTTACGTCTCTGTGCTGACGTGGTATGGCAACCTGAACTGATGTACTTAAATACGAACTTCTGCGTTGTATCTTTCTGTCTGTCTGTGCTGCTCGGATTATTTCCTGGAATGTAACTGAGACGTGATTATATTTTTCTATGACCTGAGGCGAATTGGGACTGGATAAAAAATTTTTTCCATAAATGTCTTAAACATCTGTTCTTGTGTAGCTAAAAATTGCCTCTGCGGCTGCTGTGAAATGGATTTAAGTTGGTGTACTGAAAATGTTTATTTTCACGTGTGACTGACAATCTGTTGCCAGGAACTGCTATGATTTACATTGTCCCAAATGTGAACGTGATAGGTCTGTTTATTTATGAACAATTTGATACATCTTAATTGCAGTATCGAACACTGTAACCTTAGGAAAACTACAACCAAAAACACAGCAACCAATAAGGCTTAGTATGGGTGCCATGACCCTGAAGTCACTTTGATCTGAGACTATACTTTTCCATCACTGTCTTTTCACTATGAATCATCTGAATGTCGAATATCAAAAAATATTATGATTACAAATATGCTATATTGCAGCAAATTGAATATCATCGACTAAAGATAGTAGTTATCAATCATATTTGATCACTTACATTCAAAGTTATGAGAATAATGATCAAAAATTCAACAATTTGTTTTGATACAATGTGAGACATATAGCTAATAAAATATTTAAGAAGAAATTCAAAGGTGTACCAATTCATCAGAACAAATTACGTTATAATGCTGAAATAACTGGACACATTCTTAACATTACCGATCATAATTTTTCTGATAATTCAAATATTTTCACTGAAAACTAAGTGTATCGTGAAAACCTAACTGGCAACTCTAATCTAAGCAAAGGTCTAAGTCTAATGCGCAAAACTAATATGTTCTTGCGTAATAGGAGATATATCAACAGAACAGTCGATTGGAATGGATATAGTGTTTCAGTTTATTATGATATAACTCCACCTGGATCATGTCCGGGGTTACTGCCGCTCCCGTGCCCGGATAAAGGAGTAGAGTTGGGCATGGAATTACCGACCCCATCCCGAAGAAATTCAACTCTCTAAAAGAACGCTAACTAGAAAAAATAATTCGCAGGTCGGCAGTCTGTGCTCCACTAGGGATAACAGGCGTAAATAAGAAAAAGACAGTTTATTATGATATGCATAATAATGATTTTATGAAAGAAAGTGGATAACTCTGCCTGAATCTTTTTTTCTCCAACACATAAATCAGAATTCAATAGTCAAAACACTTCCATTGACTCTGCTCCGAAATTCCTCACCAGATTACCATTCTAAAAAACTTAAATCAGAAATGAATTAACAAAGTAATGATTCAGTTTATGCCGGTAATTAATTAGAACAACACATATAAGCGAATAAATATTGTTTTCGATTAGATCGTCATCAGGCTTTACTCTAATATACATGAATATTTACATAAAAATGTTAAACCAATCAAGGCTATTTCAGTGATAATCACAATGCAATGAAAAAGATTACGTCACTACATATAATAGGCAAAAGTACAAGTGGATAATAGGAAAACAGGTGTACTGATAGTTTGCATTACGATAGAGATTCTGTTATACGCATGATAATAACATATATTCAGATACAACTAACTGTAAGCGAATCACCTGAATTATTCCTTGAAACAACTTCATCTTCCCTAATGCTAGAGATTCATCTGCCTACAAAGATTTGGATAATGCTAGGAGGTCCTTAAACTATTGCATCAACATGGATGTCATTACTGCTTCGATTATTCTATCATCAGTTATGAGTTATGTACAGCTACATATCTTTCAAATGATTATCTATTAATTACACATTTTTGAAACCATGAATCGATCAATGTTAGACCACCATTAGAAACTTGGAAGCACTGGACGGCCGTTTCGTCTTGGTATGGGACTCCTCAGCAGTGCGCATCCACGACTCCTGCACCCCGCAGGATTCGAACCCGGCAGTGTCTACCAAAGACTGTGTATGAGGTTGCGCAATTCCGAGAATTTGATCAAGTTAGACATTAACACCGTTGGGTACCGACCCAGTGGTCCGATGGCTAGGCTTTCGCGCACAATACCGAAAGTCCTGGGTTCGAATCCTGTGGGGTGCAGGAGTCGTGGATGCGCCCTGCTGAGGAGTCCCATACCAGGACGAAACGGCCGTCCAATGCTTCCAGGTTTCTAATGGTGGTCTAACATTGATCGATTCATGGTTTCGAAAATGTGTAACGTAACAATCTTCACAACCCCGTAATGCATATCTATTAATTGTAAACCTAATCTACCACACTCTATTTTAAACCATTGAAGCAGTGTATTCAGATTCTTTTGAAATTTAAAACAGCAGGATAATTAATATCTTCAATATTGTTTGACTATGTCAATTATTTTAATCGTTATTACGATTTTATAATTATTGACTGTTTCAAATACGATATATATATTCAGTTACAAACTGGTGAATGACATTTCCGGAGTGCTAGTAAGGAAATAATTTCACTATAACATATTGTTGAAATAACAATCAATTAAATTAAAGGAGTATATTTACACTAGAAAAAAATCAACAATTATAATTTTAAAATAAATATTTTTGCAGTCAATATTGTTGAAACGTACACAAATCAAATTGAGAGAATAGAAACATCAATCAAATGTGTTCATATATTATTGAGTTTTTAACTAGCATAATATATCTGCCAGTATAAAATTAAACCATGAACAACAATTTGATTTTAAAAATAAAAATTCATGGGTTGAATAGTTTGAGGGTTTCAATGATTACTATGTACGTATATAAAAAGATATTATGTTGCTAATCATAGTAAATTATTCTTTACTTGTCAACAAAATCAGTATAAACATAATTAATAGTGACTTAAAAACCAGTGAGATTAGTTCACTGTCTATTTGAATAGAGTATGTCATTTAATTTGTGGTGTAAAAACGTCATCTGTATACTTAAAAACAGTTAAGGATAGGGTTTTAAAGGTAATATGCACTGTAATTGATATTTTTCCGTTGAAATGTCATTAGTCTATGGTGTTACTAAATAGTTGTTTGAGTTTGAATAAGTTAGAGTAGACTTAGTGAGTAACACAATGGGCATTTGAAGCGATAGATACCGAGTTCGAGTCCTGGAGTGAATGCTGATGTTGTAACATTTATATGCACACCCAGTTGATGAGTAACGGATTGGAAGAAACGCGTGTTCTGAATTTCACGGGTAGCCACTGTCTATCTTTACTTTAGAAACTTTCCTTGAACTCTAAAAACATATGTTCGCTGTCTGATGAATCTCCATTGAATTAGAAACAAATAACCAGATGGCTTAAACCTGATTAGTCAGTTGAGATGTATATTTCTTTGGAGATCTTGAATGAATCGTAATTCTCTACTTTTATTCCGTGTTTTCTGCT